AAAATGATAACTTTTCAAGTAACCCACTATCATTATCGAAATAAGATCCAATATAATCGATTACTATATTGATAAATAATTCAAATGCTTTCATTAATCATTCACTTTTATTTTTATCAATTTCTTTTGGTTGATTCGATCAAGATAATCTACATACACTTTTTTATCATTGCATTAAAAGGAAGTATACAGTCTCTATAAATTAGAAAGAGGGCGTTAAATAACAGTGATTGTATGGATACATTCGTATGTATTCTTATTCGAGGGAAAAAAATGCATAAATTATTTGATCTTACTGATTTCAGTATGATACGATCGAAATCATACCATGAGTAATTAGATATAAAAGATCAAATATATATATATGACGCTGTACGAAAAGTCATCTGTCAAAATTTATCACGAGTTGAATAAAATTAGACTTATTTATAACCAAATGAAAAAGATAATAAATGGTATCATTTCTTTGTTGTTGTGAAAGTTAAAAAATTGAACAAATGAGATATAGTGATTTAAAAACGGTTTTTCTAATAAAAACATATTTAAAATCTATAGGGTAGAGTTTCTTTAATCTTGTGTAAATTATTCATAACTATTTTTCCAAACACAATACTTTATCATATGGACAATTTTTAGCGTTGTGATTTCGTTTGGAGATATAATTAATTTTTCATAATTTTTTAGCGAAAAAGGATATATTAAAAAAATATCTACATGGAATTTATGGCCAAAAGCTACATTGAAACGTTCAACTTCGATTAGTTTTTATCTTTTATGAAATTTCAAAGATCCATTGACGTGATTAGCATGTGAATTATTAATCTAGAAAAATTTTTAACAGCATTATCTTTTGTATACCGAGGATGTGGGTGTGTGGGGTGGGTGTGTGGGGTGTGGGTGCGGGTGTGAATGTGAGTGTGGGTGTGGGTGTGAATGTGAGTGTGGGTGTGAGTGTGAGTGTGAGTGTGGGTGTGGGTGCGACGAAAGGGATTACTAACATCCATATTTACACCCCATACCCACAGCCACACCTACACACCCACACCTACATCCACCCACACTCACGGCTACACCTACGCCGCATCTTGCACTTAATTTACTTCGCCTAACAAAATCAGATTTCAACACCGATTGTTGTTACTGTTGAGGAACACATTGAATCTGACTTTGTCCAGAGAGGATTTATGTCTTAAAGAGTGGAACCAATTTCTCTCTTTCAGACAATATTGTCGAGTTTTTGAGAGCTTCGAAGCAATTGTTTATCACTCACTCAGTTTTTAAATAAGATAGTTAATAAAATTAAAGTACAATGTGTTCACGATTCGTTATCAAGTATAAAAGCGTTAACATAATATTAGTGATACAGAATATTTTTGAAGATTAGAACTTTATTTTATGTATGAATTACACAATAGCTCCATTCCAATAACACTTCTCCTGTTTACTATATACGACTTCGATCAAGAATTATGAGATGTACTATTACTTTCTAAATATTTTTGCACTAAGTTTCTTTCTTGTACTGCTAAGAGAAGTTGATTTTTATGTTTCAGTAAATGGTTTCGATAGTTCTTCCTACAAAAACCGTAACTGAACCATCAAACATTACTGTTACTTTTGATTATTGAAAACTATACATCTAGCATACATTCTTTCGAATTTTTTCAAAGTTGGATGACAGATATAAAATATGAACTATGTTTTATTTCATCAACTAAAAAGCTCATCGCTGTTACAACGAAACTGCTTGTTATAGACATTATAGAACAATATGTGTTATCGAAAATAACTGAAGAAAAACAAAATCGTGTTCAATCAAACGTTGGTAAACATTGTAGCGAACAAAATGCAAACAAATCTTTGATGAAATCAAGTAGCAGAAAAGAGAGTACACACATCTATAGAGGTGAGTTCACGATTATAAATACGCCAATCATCAATCGCACCTGTAAATGATCCTAGTGAACCAATTAATCCATTTGAACATACAACACAACCACTTAAATAATTAGTCAATGTCAAATAGTTCGATGTTATTTCACTTCCTTTAAATGTTGAAACTGCTATAGAACTAACAAATGTATTGTTCATATATAATTTTAGTCCATTCGTTTCACTCCATGTTTGAACAACTAGAGTCCACGATAAAGGCACTGGTAAAATAGGACCGGTAGTTGTTACAATTGTGCCATTATTTGTTAAGACTTGTGCAATGATTGCTCCATTTGAAGCAAAACCCAATAATGAAAAACATGTAGATCCATTGCCTGATGGAGATGATGATAAATGAACAAGTGTACCTGATAATGTTTGAGGTTTAATCCAAAATATAATGGAAAATGCTGGATTACTGATACCAAGTGAAGTAAAACCTCAAGCTTGGAAATAAGAAGTTGATGAACCAGAGAATGATATAGCTTCATTCTTATAACCAGAGATAATTGAATTAGTTGAAGAAGTAGTTGCTACTGCATTAGGTCCAGAATCAGTATATGATGATGTACTATCAAATTCGAAATGAGCAGCTAATGTTGCTATTTCAAGTATTTCACAAGATGATTTTGCTCGTCGACTGATTGATAAATGATCGATATAACCCTAGATAACAATATATTATTATTCAGTTATTTTCCAACATTATGCACTTAAAAATTCATTTTTCTATGAGACAGCTCTTTCTTTGCTCTAAATCAAAAATATTTTTATCTCACTTGATAATAGTTATTCGGAGTATTCACTTGTTCATTCATACCAATTGTAAAATTACCCGATGTCATTAGTAATGCACTGGAAGCACTAGGCTGTCCATCTTGAACTCCGTTTCAATAGATAGTTTGTTGTTTTGTTGTTGCATCAAAAACAAATGCTGTATGTATCCATTGATTCAGTGAAATTGTTGTTGCACCTTGTAGATCATCAGAAAAAAATCCAAAATAAAGCTTTGTATTATGAATATTCCCTCGACTGTAGGGAGGGTCATATGAAAAAAAATAGTTTGTGTGTGTTTGTGTGTTTGTGTCAGGGTCAAAAAAACATCGATGGCCGATCAGATGTTTGCTCTATCCATCTCTCGAACAATCAGGTTTTGAGAGGCTGGGATTTTTACCAATCAGGTTTTCAGAGACTGGGATTTCAGCCAATCAGGTTTTGAGGCGCTGGGAATTCAATCAATCAGATTTCGAGGAACTAGGAAATTCAGCCAATCAGGTTTTGAGCGGTTAGGAATTCAGCCAATCAGGTTTTGAGAGACTGGGAATTCAACCAATCAGATTTCGAGAGGCTGGGAAAGTCAGCCAATCAAGTTTGAGGGGCTAGAAATTCAGCCAATCAGGTTTCGAGGGACTGCTATTTCAACCAATCAGATTTCGACAGGCTGCGAAAGTCAGCCAATCAGGTTTTGAGAGGCTGGGATTTCAGCCAATCAGGTTTTGAGGCGCTGGCAATTCAACCAATCAGATTTCGAGGGGCTAGGAAATTCAGCCAATCAGGTTTTGAGGGGTTAGGAATTCAGCCAATCAAGTTTTGAGGGGCTAGAAATTCAGCCAATCAGGTTTTGAGGGGCTAGAAACTCAACCAATCAGATTTCGAGAGGCTGGAAAAGTCAGCCAATCAAGTTTGAGGGGCTAGGAATTTAGCCAATCAGGTATTCAGGGACTTGGAATTCAGCCAATCAGATTTCAAGGGGCTAGGAAAGGCAGCCAATTAGGTTTTCAGGAGCTGGGAATTCAACGAATCAGATTTCGAGAGACTAGAGATTCAGCCAATCAGGTTTCGAGAGACTGAGAATTCAACCAATCAGATTTCGAGGGGCTAGAAAATTCAGCCAGTCAGGTTTTGAGAAGCTAGGAATTCAGCCAGTCAGGTTTTGAGGGGTTGGGATTTCAACCAATGAGATTTTGAGGGGCTGGGAATTCAGCCACTTAGATTGAGGCACTCTCAAGAATTTAGGTTGGTATATTCAAGCACACAGATACGTGGTAGTCATTAGGATAGAATAAGGCAATAGTACTCCCTCCAGCCGTTCGATTGAGACACAAATATTCAGGAAGATCCGGACGATATTTGCTAGTTTGACTGAATTTGTCGAGGAGACGATTACTAGACTTTGTATTATCTGTGGATTCACGCAATCAGTGAGATATTAGGACATATCTGGAAGAAAAAGTGACTTTTAATATATGTGAGCGGAAAATTTCACAAAGCCTCTTTTTCGAACAGAAAGAATCTTGACGAGCTGACGAAAAAGAAAAGTTTAATCTTATACTTCATCTGATAAGGACTTACATATAAGACCACCTGCTCTAGTGACAGAGATGAAATTAATATTTGTAAATTGAATGTCAAGACATTTTATATGAGAATATAATAATGTTCTACTGACCTCATTGGTGTCAAGAATTCCTACGGAAACTTTTGCTTTGTTGATTTCCTCGACTGTAGAGAGTGTCATATAAATTAACAAGTAAGGTTCATCGACATTGAAAGTCGATTCACTGGGCCCTAGACTGACGGAATGATGACACAGATGTCCTTATGTTTTTTAATAAAAATGAATTCTGTTCAATGATGAGTTTAGGACAAATCATTGATATTTTCAAAATGCTGTATATTACATACTAAAGATATATTTAAACAGTTGACATAAAATATTGCAAGATGCCAATGTATATGATAAAGCACATGAGTTAGTTGATTCTAAGGACTAGCAATGGTTATTTATCCCATAGCACTAGTCATTTCTAATACGGATCTAGCTAGTGATGACACACACACGCTCATTCCGCAGATAAGAATGATCAACTGTGCCATAGAAACGGTTAATAGCACCGTAGAAACTGAGTTGAGCTACAAGAATGGTCAATTATGCCAAAATAAATGGTCAGTTTTACCACGACTCACGATACTTTGCACCATAGCAACAGTCACTTATACCATGATTATGGTACTTTGTTCTATCACAACGGACACTTGCACCATAAAAATGGTCATTTGTACCACGACCCATGGCGCTTTGTGCCATGACAACGGTCAGTTGTACTATGAAAATGATACTTTGCATCATCACAATCGTCACTTGTACCACGACTTTGGTATTTTCTACCATCAATATCCTTACTTGTACTACGACTCTGGTACTTTGTACTATGACAACAGCAACGTCTATCGTGACTATTGGTACTTTCTACCATGACAATGGTCACTTGTACCACGACTATGGTATTTTTTACCTTGACAACGTCACTTGTACCACGATTATGGCACTTTGTATCACAAGAATGCTCATTTGTACCATGAATATGGCCATTTGTGCCATAAAAATGGTGATTTGCGCCATAGAAATGGTCATTTGTGCCATAGAAATGGTCATTTGTGCCATAGAAATTATCATTTGTGCCATGGAAATGGTCATTTGTGCCATAGAAATGGTCATTCGTACCATAGAAATGGTCATTTGTGCCACGGAAATGGTCATTTGTGCCAAGCGCTTGTTACAGACAGACAGACGGACAAACAGACACAGGTGAATTACGGTTTCTAGACCCTAGCCTTTCAGTCTAGGGAAAATGAGTTTGTGTATGTGTTTGTGTCAGGGTCAATGGTCAAAAAAATACGATCAAATATGAATACATCGGAATTTCAGCGAATCGGGTTCTTCATATTAGGACTTATGCCAGTCAAGTTTTTTCATCCTAAGATTTCAGCCAATCAGAGATTTGCATATTGGGCTTTCAACCGGTCAGATTTTTGCAGGCTGGAGACAAAGGTTGACGAAAGTAAATCGGGATCGGTGAATGTGAATCTGAAGTCAGCTTCTCAAAATTTAGAGTTGAATTTTTAGGGTCAGGGAAAATTTTTTTTGAGAGAATAATAATATTTCCTCGGCTATAGGAAGGGTTATATGAAATAAACTAAATTTTTGTGTCTGTCTGTGTGAGAATGAAAGGTGAAACAGGTATTTAGCAGTTAAAGTGCATTTTGACAAAGAATTGCTAGGTTTACAATCTCTTACGGAAAACTAAGGTTTATCTTAAACTATTTTACAAAAAAGGCTAAGCGGTTTCTTCGACTTTTACGATTTAAGAAATTGAAATTTGCGTCAGTTATTGTGGTAAAGCTGGTAGATGAATACTTTCGATACTGACACATGTGGAATATACTTCTGTCTTATACAGTCGGGGGTTAAGTGAGTCGAACCGACGAACGTTACTTGTTTTTAACCTTATCTTCTTTGTGGGGTCTAAAGCTAAAAAAGGGTGTCGACGTTGCTTTTTTTAAGTAGTTAAGATAAAAATATGTGTGATCAAAAATGGTAAAAAAACAAATTTGGTAAAATTATTTTAACACTTTTACTAATAATCTACTCTTTTAATAAGGATATCAATTGAGCACGATAGAATATGGAATGATAACTTAGATGTTATTTTTACATACTTCCTTTCTATGTCTGTTCAACTTTATATAGTTGAAAAATATACCAAACCAAAATGAGTCGAAGCGTTTATAAAACATATGAGTGAGACTTATTAATGCTATCGAACTATAGCTACTCGTTTCTTTCTCATCTCTGCTGACGCGAATAGAATAACTAAAAAAAATAAAAATTCAATTTTGCTCAAAACAATGAATAGAAAGGTAAAAGATTTACCATCTATATTAATTGTTAACTGAATTATACGAAAAAATACTTGTCAACCTGTAAATAAACTTTTACAAACGTAAAATATTTTATAAGAATAACGATGTTACTATATGAAAAGTATTCTGAACTCGACCGAGTACTCAACGTACTCAATAACTCGTACGAGACAAAGACTCATCATTAGACACGCATGGGACCAAGAGTGAGGCTAAATAAATATTTTGCCTAGACTGGAGTTCAAGTTTATAGTAAAATATTCTTCGGTTTTACGAAAACTGTCTTATAAATCATATGAATCAGGACATAATTCAAGAGAGATGGATAGATTCTGGAACAGATTTCTCTAGACCTGGATCGAAATCAAAAACAAAATGTGCTCCTCCAGATGTCTACCTCTAAGCAAAATCAATCGATCCAGAGAACAACACAAAAATTTCTTCTAGCATCACGATAAATATAAAAATATCTTCGTATCAACAAAGAAACCAAACAGATCCTTATATAATTCAATTAACTCTATTCAGACGGAACGATTTATTCATTTGTAAGGTAATAAAAAAACGTAGTTAATTTTCCGTTCTATGACGGTTACACTTGTTATTTTTGTTCAAACAATATCGAACTTTAAACTATATAATTCTATATAATTTTTTTATTCTTTTTTTTTATTATATAGAGTCAGGCATCCTAATCCTGCCGAAAGAAAAGACTTTTAGCATTTCACTTGTAACTCGAGTTATGTACATATCGTAGAAAAAAAGTTTTTCCTTTCCAGAAAAGAAGAAACATTTCTCTGTCGACTGTTTCAAAATTAATCAAAACAAAAATTAATTAATCACTCGAGAGAAGCGTGACAATAGAGAGAGGGTTAAATTTAATTGAATTTTAGTGTGTTCCCAGTTGTACTACTTCCTAAACCTAATTCAATCGAATACATATGAAATGCATAGAGCTAGCGAAGTCTATTATTCTATCTTCTTTTTTGGCCTAGTACATAGCATGTGAAAATACAATTGTGCCACAATACTTAGCAAATTTTATACTAAAGCATTAAAATCAGTTCCGATTCGATCCACAGGAAAATTTCAGAGAAGTCATTTTTACTGTCTGCACATGAAACATCAGTCTAATTGAACC